TCTGACAGTGACATTAGTTTGATGTTAATGACAACGAAATGAGTGAATTTTTCAAAATGAATGAACGATTCGCCGACGTCAATCTTTTAACCGCTGAGTAGCTACTCGATACTTCATGTTTGCATGTGAAATTGCACAGTGATACTTTTTAGTTTTACTTGCTGAGTAATGTTAATTGGGAAGTAACTAATCAGAATTTTACTCAGAGATGGTGAACGAGGCCTTAAGAGATCCTATTACTATTTTGTTGGAAGCTTTTTTTCGAGACTTACGAGTAATGTGCGGTTTAGCGGCCGACTTCATGGTGTTACTTTTCTGTTAAAATTTCACTCTCATCATTTTTGGCTAACTTCATTATGTTACTTTTGTGTTACAGTGATGCGCGCGCATCTTAAAATTTCACTCTCATAATTTTTTCATAACGCGGCTAAAGAAGTATAACTTCAAAAAATATTTACCATTTTACACGAAATAAAAGAGAAGGCAAACGAAGAACTTTTATATGGAATAATTAAACTATATTTCTTATTCTTTAAACAATGAAATTAAAATTATACCTATAGTGTTAAACACAAATGAGTCTGTTGTGTATAAACGTCTATCAATGTTTCGTTTGATTCTAATTAGAAAGTTCCTACCGAAGACGATTTAAAGCTGTATTATTCATTATTATCATTTTGAATGAACGCTAGAAATTTCTCAACTTTAGAAATCTGACTAATAATTTAATTAAATATGAATAATAAGATGTTTCGAGAAAGGCGAAGTATTCTAGTTAGGTGTAGCAAGGCAGTTACTGCCTCTGAAAGGGATCTACAGAAAGCAATACTTAAGTACTTACCAACTTCAGTGGCGGATTTACAAATTTGCCGTTAATAGGCTATTAAATTTTTGCCTCCCTTACTGACCTTTGAAATTCAATACGCTAAATAAAACTAGTTTTTACGGGTTAATGCACGAAACTTTAATTATTTATTGACGTTTCGCAGCCTTTTCAGGTCTGCATCGTCAGAATAATGATTTTTTATTTAAAATTGTCGAGCTACCGTCGAAAGACTTATATTGAGCGTTCGGTTATTTCATTGGAAGATTTTTAAAATTTTATTGTCTATGTACGAATTTATTATTTAATTTACTTAATAAAGTATTTTATTTAAAATTCTTGTTTGTAATTTTGAGTTTATTTATTTGACCCTAACTACCGTAAACTACCGTAAAAAACTAGTTTTATTTAATGAGTGATGTGCGTGAAAACCTAAGAAACAATATAAAATATTCAAGCAGTACTAGTTCACAATTATATTTATTCTGAAATTGCAACTTTATGATTTGTGTTCTATCGTCCAAATTACGTCGGCTTTTCCCAGTTAGTTTAAAAAAATACTAAATTTAAATTGTAATTAATGTTGAAACGCTAATGGAATATTTTAAAAATTCATGATCGCATAAGTACATACATAAACTAGCTGACCCAGCGAACTTCGTACCGCCATAAAAAAATTTAATTAAAAAAACATTGCCCAGCGGACAAAATTGTGAATCTAAACCATTCTCAGATCCATTTGAACACACACAAAAAAATTTATCAAAATCGGTCCAGTCGTTTAAGAGAAGTTCAGTGACATACACACTCACAGAAGAATTATATATATAAAGATTTTACAGTGTGCTTAGTAATCTTTTATATACGGATTACGGACGTAAGAGTGTTGAGTATACTGTGCATTACTAAAATATTAAAATTTTTGTCACTCGTTTTACTGTGTAGATTTTGGGCCAAATTTGGCGCCCCCTTAAATCTGCCGCCCTAGGCTCCAGCCTACTGAGCCTACTGGTAAATCCGCCACTGACCAACTTGCTCTATCGTAATGTAATAAAAGCAATCAAAATAGGCAATGTAAGTGTAGGTATTTCGCATTCCAAAAACATGCCAAAACATGGAGACCAAGGCTTTTCTTTAAATGCTATTTTAATTTTATATCTTCGCATCACTGTTTACGATAGTCCTTTTTTTTATTATTCGTAGATGTTTCAAAATTGGGTTTTATTTTTGTTTGTTAATCGCTGTTTGTGTTTGTGTTTTTGTTAATGTTTTCTAGTCAGTCGGCTATTTGATGCCTTCTGACATAATTTTTACTCATTTGTGTTATTTAGAGTTCTTGTATGCTTATTCGTGTTGTGATTTAAGTTTGGTTGAAAGCTTTTAAGTTAGATATTATGTATTTAATATATTTAGTGAAGGATTCTATTGCGGAATCTTTTTTTAGTAGTTGTAGGGGGTTGAGTGGTGACACTTTTAGGTAGTCGCAGAGGATAGTCCGTTGAAAAATGTCTAATTCTAAAGAAAATATAACTAGAAAAAATTCCACGCGGACCAGGCAGCAGACGGGACTCGAACCCGCACCCTTCGCAATCCGGGCGAATGCACTGACCAATTATGTGGGTTTACCTATAATGCGAAGAGATGGCGCTGCCTTGCAGCTTAAGAATAGCTAGAAAGAATTTGACGCGGTCCGTGAGGGCCGCGGTAGCATAATTGGTCAGTCCATTCGCCCGGATTGCGAAGGGTGCGGGTTCGAGTCCCGTCTGCTGCCTGGTCCGCGTGGATTTTTTTTTTCTAGTTATATTTTCTTTAGATTTAAACATCAAGCAGTTACATGCTTTAAAAATAATAAAAATTATAAATGTCTAATTGTGTCATATCATGATAATTACATTTGCTTCAACCAATCAAGTTCTGAACGAGTTCTGCTTGTTTCAGCTAAGTAAGAAGCAGCCTATAACCAAAGCTCAAACCAAAACGCTTGTAAGCTGCAAATATTTCAGTTTATACCTACCTTTTTTGTCTAACATCAATTAGCTTCACATTTATACTCTCATCATTACAATTCAATAAGTTAGTTACAAGAGCACCGGCTCTCTACATTTTTTTGAAGTTATACTTCTTTAGGCGCGTTATGAAAAAATGATGAGAGTGAAATTTTAAGATGCGCGCGCATCACTGTAACTCAAAAATTTAACAGCAACTTCATGCTGTTACTTTTGTGATTACCGCACGTTAAGAAAATCTACCAACAAAATAGAAATAGATTCTCTATTTAGTGGGTGCTAACGACTGCATTGTGAAGGCCTATCAAAAGTATTTATTAATCTGGAACAACGGAACCAAAGCGCGATTCAGGAGACTACAGCGCCATCTCTTGACCATTGGTGTAGTAGAACCAAAAACCACATCTTTATTTTTTGTAATAAAGTAACAGTTATAGGTATTCATATTTATAATATTTATCCACATGTTTCTAGTTTGTATATTCGGAATACGTGTTTGAGTTTCATACAAGTGCAAATCACATATGTTCTAATAAATTATATTCAGTAGCGATTTTAATTGAATATTTTGATTATTTATTAATTTTTTCAAATTAAAACTGAACTTTATTGACTGTGTCCTTTTCCAGACTTTTTATTAATTTATTGTAATTAATTATTTGCATGCAATTAAAAACTAATTTTAAACGATGCCAAAGAAGGATAACTTCTCACGCGCCTACATAAGTAGACGCACCCATTTTTTTTATAACATGCAGAATGAATGAATAATATTTTAATACAAAGTCTACAAATTAAAAAAACATGGTTGTTGTGACACTAAATTTAACGTAAAATTTTATTATTTAGACTTCCATCATAGGTATTGTTCTCACCACCTAATTTATTATCAATGCAGAAGTGATTATGAAAGAACTTTTTACTTTTCTAATTACAGCTAGCCAGGTAATAGATTTAATCATTAGTTTTGTTATTTTGTTTCCACATAAGTTTAAATTTATTAGAAGACTAGTGGCCCGCCCTTGCTTCGCTTCGGTGTAGAGCTGTAGTGTAAACTATAGTTTTTGTTCTCAGGCTTGTGCTATAAACAATGACTTTATTAATATAATTACACGTGTTATTGTGAGTCAACCATAAAAGATAGACATATGCTGTTGCGGGATATTTTTTAGACAATTTTATGTAGAATATTTCCGTCATACATGATTTCTATGTAACTTTAACCATTAAGACTGCACACGCGACGGAAGCTTAAAAAATTGAATTACTTCTCCCGTTTTCCCAACATTTCCCTTCACTACTCTGCTGCTATTGATTGTAGCGTGATGAAAAGTATACTATGCCCAGGAGTATGAAGAATAATTGTACCAAGTTTCGTTAACATCCGTCGAGTAGTTTTTGTTTCTATAAGGAACATACACACAGACAGACAGACAGACAGACAAAAATTTTACTGATTGCATTTTTGGCATCAGTATCGACCACTAATCACCCCCTGATAGTTATTTTAAAAATATATTTCATGTACAGAATTGACATCTCTACAGATTTATTATAAGTATAGATATGGCGTTAAACGGGGTAAAGAGCAAGTTTAAGGCACATTTGATGCGCAAAATTTATACAGACCACTGTTTCTTTAAACTACGAAGCGTTCACTCGTCAACGAAAATATTATACGACAGAGTAATGGCGATGCAATTGTTCGGGATCAAGGAGCTAACTGCCGGAGCATTCGTAAAGTAAACAAAAATTGCATTTGTATTAAACAGTGAACCGTACAAAGGATTAAACCGCGTCGGTTGTAGCCGAGCATATTTCCTCTCGAACAAAACCCAATGTGGAGTAACCCGTCATTGGGCGCATTTTTCGTGATCACCACACCGTCGTTCGAGTGGTCTACAGAGCACAATGGGGCAAAAAACGCACGCAGCGCTATTCATTTCATTTTTAAGCAATGAAAACACAATCATCATTCCATGTCAATGTGTTGCGAGCTCTGAACTAAGTGTGCTCGTGGATGTGGTACAAATATGTGTGGTAATAAGCCACTGTGATGTGTGTGACAAGACGTGAAAATTTGGTTAAAGTTTTATTGTATTTTTTTATGAATAATTAATAATAATTTCCTTTGAATGACTACGATACAATTCCAAGGATTTTCTACCATTAATAATTCAAATTTCAAGTATTTGTTTCTTAGTTTTCACGTACATCACTCATTTAATAATTTTGGAGTCTGAAACATGGAACGGCAAGCTTGTTCTTAAATCTCGTGTTAAAGTTATGGGTTTGACTTTTTTTTGCAAATTCATCATAGTTTTTTCTTACATATATTAAATTTTCATAAATGTATTGCGACGCCAGTGTTAAAATATTAATTTCTTTAAATTTTTCTCTAAGAGATTCTCTTGCCTATAAATTGTATATGGCGCGAACAGCTCTCTTTTGCAGTATGAAATTACAATAATATAATACTAGCAAACCAGTGAACCAAATGTTCACCAAAAAAAAATGTATTTAATTAATTGAGAACTTCGGAGATTTTGTGTGGTTTCGTTTGAAATAGAAATCACGTGATTTCTCGAAAACCGGAAGTGCTACGTTACTCACATCTGGTTTGTAGTCTTATCAGACTATTCTTAACTTATAACTTAAACATTCTCTATATCTATCTCTTACGGTTTGGCCGCTGAAACAGCACCACGGTCGGACGGACGGACGGACTTGTCTAATAGATAAGAGATAATATAATTTCGAACCCCATCCCGACACTTAACAATATAATTATTTAAAAACATGCTGCAGATGCCTCGTCGGGCGTTTCCTAGCGCGTTGTTGTTTACGTGGCGGATGGTGGTGTACCGGCTCAATGGGGCAATTGGCCCACTCGAAACACAATGCCGCATCCATGAGGCGACTCCACTGGCTACACACTTATACACCGCTGCGCATTCATCGCGCGCTGAACGCAAACCAAATATCGCAGCAACGCAAGTACGCAACCGAACTGAGACAATATTCATAACAATTTGAAGATTTAGATATGGATATATCACTTTGTAGACCCCTGATTCTGATGATGATCATAATAATCAGTCATAATCAAAATCATTTATTCAGTTTAGGCTGTTACAAGCACTCATGAATGTCTAGAAGCTACGCCATCGGTTCGTAAATCTACGGCGGGAGACCTTGTACTGAGAAGAACCTGCAAGAAACTCAGCAAGGGCTGTTTTTTTTCTTCCCGTTTTATCATTTACAGAGTCGTCAAGTTGAAAAATGACTTCAGAGATTCATGAAGTCACCTTTCATTACACAATGTGAAATTATACATTAATTGTTCACCTGCATTTTGATTGCTGTGTCACACAGTATAAATACATACAGAGTTATTTATAATAGGTGTAATTAAACATTTACATCTTAAATATCAAAGTAGTTAGGACAGACTCATCTCCGCTGACAGCACCCGTTCACGAGCATGACGCATGAACCAGCCATCGCTTCGCTCAACCATATTTAAGGGAACGTAACGACCCGCCTCACACGACACCAGGATGGTTGGCCACGACGGGAGAAGGTCAGACCTAGTAAAGTCGCTCACTGTTCTATCAATAACCGAGGCTATAAAGACTGCCGAGGACAGGAATACGTGGAGAAGCATAGTACAACAGGTGGTCAACGTTTCAAGTTAGACACGACCTTTAACGATGAAGATAGCGACTAAGAAGAATACCCCCTGGACAAGCGGATATCTGTGTATTCGAGTAAACTTTAACGCTGCGCCCTTATTAATAATCAAGGATTATTCCTTGACTAGCAAACCAGTGAACCAAATGTTCACCAAAACCTGATTTAAAAAAAGACAAGTCCGGCCGTCCGTCTGTCTGTGGTGCTGTTTCAGCGGCCAAACCGTAAGAGATAGATAAAGAGAATATTTAAGTTATAAGTTATGAATAGTCTGATAAGACTACAAACCGGATTTGAGTAACGTAGCACTTCCGGTTTTCGAGAAATCACTTGATTTCTATTTCAAACGAAATCACACAAAATCTCCGAAGTTCTCAATTAATTAAATACATTTTTTTTTAAATCAGGTTTTGGTGAACATTTGGTTCTCTGGTTTGCTAGTTTTATTAAATGTGCGTGAAAATCTAAGGAACAAATTAGCTTAATTTGTTTAATCTTTTAATATTGTCGAATATGTGAAGAGAAAAACCAACATCGAACTCCTCTTTTAGAGGTTTTCATTTTTTATTAGTTGTTTGTTGTCATAAAACAAAACCACTAAAAATAAGTAGGTATTTCGTTAAGTTAAGTACTTTTTAGTTTTTATTTGTGTTAAAATAAGTTTTCATTTCCCTAATGGAAAATTCAACAAGTCCTTTGGTCCACTCACTTAACTGTTTTCCTTAACCGTCTATGAAAGATGAAATCAATTCAGCTTTGCAAACTATAGCTATCAAATAAAAATATATTTTCCGTTTTCATAATTGGTCAAAAATTGCGTGTAACTTATGTACGCGCGTGAGAAGTTATACTTCTTTAGCATCATTAAAAATATTTTTTAATTGCATGCAAATAATTTATAATTACAATAAAATAATAAAAGGACTGGAAAAGGATAGTTAACACAGTCAATTAAGTTCAGTTTTAATTTGAAAAATTAAATAAATATTCAAAATATTCAATTAAAATCACTACTGAATTTAAGTTGTTAGTCCATATGTAATTAGCACTTGTAAGTAACTAAAACACGTTGTGTCTATATAGAAACTAGAAACATGTGGATAAATATTATAAATATGAAAACAGTGATCAGAGGCGACGAGCGTGCCAACATTGTTTTTGACAACGCGATCATCTTATGGAGCTCCGTGGATCGTTCAAAGTACCTTTCGAACAGATGTCTAATAATGGTGGATTATTATCCACTAAGTGGTTAATAATCCACCATTATTAGACACTAACATTCATAACGCGCCCGCAGCCAACTTCATGCTGTTACTTTTGGGTTACAGTGATGCGCGCGCATCTAAAAATTTCACTCTCATCATTTTTTCATAACGCGCCTAAAGAACTTCAAAACATATTTTTTTTTTATTATTACCCAGTTAAGAAAATGTGAATGAATTCCATGTTTTAGTTGTAATTCGATTTGGATACGAGAACCCATTTTATCAGTAATGAAACACGGACAAATACTTACATTGAAATTTTCTCTTACAGTTAGTCTTTAGACGGACAGAAGCTCCTTAGAGTCGTGTTATTTGTTATTCAAAAAAAAATACAATGAAATATTACTTATTTTTGTAACTGACTTCTTCAATCCTGTGCACCGTTTTTTAAGAGGTTAAAAATATTGACTCTGCCGTGCCTTTACATTTTTGAATGCGCTGTCTTTGTAAAAAGTAATATTAAAATATTTAAGGCCAGAACTCGTGAACATCATATTGGAAAACTTTGTGTAGTCCCCTGTAATACGGCACTATTTAGGAAAAGTGTGGTTTGCAATGCTCCTATTATTTATAGTAAATTACCTGAAAGTGTGCGAGAAATTACCGTGACCAATATATTTAAAAACCAATTACAACATTTTTTAATAGAAAAATGTTACTATACCGTCCGTGAATTTTTGGAAAACAAAAGTTTTTAGACTAATCTAGACAATGACATGCATGAAATAATTTCAATCATATATTTATCGCTTATTGACATTTTGAATTAACTATGTAAAATTTATTAATGTGACATTGAAATAATTAATGTTTTATAGAAATATTATATTGCATGCCGATAAGGCAGAATATGGCTGTACTGTATTAAAATGTATCTATGTAACAACTTTGCAACCTGTATTCGCAATAAAAATGAATTGATTTGATTTGATTTGATTTGAAAAAAAAATCCTCGTTTGACTCAACATCAAGAAAAAAAATCATGTAAAACGTTGCCAAGACCACACCTTATGACTCGCGCTGTCAAAAAGTTATCAGAGCCAAGCTTATAATTCTACACTCCCTAACTCCACATGGTGTAACTTCACATAATATTTGCCTTGCTGCCTGAGAAATACTAGAGAAAATTCGTGTCGCGTGGTTTTTTTTCCTGTAGAATTTTCTTTAGATTTCTCTTCTTATTATTCTTCACATACAATTTTATACCTGGGTCAAAATATGTGGCTCGGCCGTTTCGCTACATTCACATGGGCGTAAGCTGAAAATGTTATCTACTGTTCATAAATTTCTGTTATAAGCACAAGCAAGAATCTCTTATCTATTAGACAAGTCCGTCCGTCTGTGGTGCTGTTTCAGCGGCCAAACCGTAAGAGATAGATAAAGAGAATATTCAAGTTATAAGTTAAGAATAGTCTGATAAGACTACAAACCGGATTTGAGTAACGTAGCACTTCCGGTTTTCGAGAAATCACAAATTTCAAACGAAACCACACAAAATCTCCGAAGTTCTCAATTAATTAAATACATTTTTTTTTAAATCAGGTTTTGGTGAACATTTGGTTCACTGGTTTGCTAGTAAAATTACTAATGCTCTATGGTATACTTTTAGCAAATCAACAATTACACCATGACCTTCATATCGGAACAATTCAGGAAGAGATCAAACACGCAATGAAATCATAGAGGAATAGACTAGACAATCATCCAAATATAATAGCTACGCACTGAATGAATACCGATTCAACTTTCAAAAGATTAAAAAGTAAGTCCCCTAGAGATATATAGGGAACATATTTTATGTAATAATGGGTTCATATTACTAAACTGACCGCCCTTCAAGATAAAATTCTCTACTCTTAACCAGATGCTGAATGCATGGAACAGATTGCACAATAAAAAAGTCGAAAAAGAAAAATAAAGCTCAAGCCACATAAGTATTTTGACTAAGGTGTAAAGTTAGGAAAAATAGAAAAGGTCATTCCGAGTAACTGCTGGATTTGATTAAAATCTTGAAATTACAATTTTTTTTTTTAATAATTTATCTACTTGGCTCAAACTCAAACTCATTTATTCAGTCTAGGCTGTTACAAGCTCTTGTGAAAGTCAAACGCTACGCCATCGATTCGTAAATCTACGGCGGGAGACCTTGTACCGAGAAGAACCGGCAAGAAACTCAGCAAGGGCTATTTTTTTCTCCCTGTTTTGTTTCATACAGAGTCGTCAATTGAAAGATGACATCAAAAATTGAAAACATATGTTGACATCAAATTTCATCACATTAATATTATTAATTAATAAAAGTTAAGTATAGCTAGGTACTATTTTTAAATTGGGAATTGGTGATTAAACAATTTTCAACCAAATTAGCAAAGTAATATAACTTAGTCTATTATATTAAGCCCAAGGTGCCTTGATGCAAAGGGCTGAGATCCTTATGGCGATTGCAGCTCTGTTACAAGTGATAAAGCATTCAAAAAGGACATCACGCTATAGTTTCAATCAATATGATATATATATATGATTCCGACGGCGCGCAAAGAATCTTTTGGCAGCATCCTTTTCAGCTACACAAGTGAAAACCTAACCTTTGTATGACTGCACGTTGAACCAAAGCAGTGAAGCTTCGAGCAGATAGTGACGTATCATAACAGTTTTATGGATGCGCGTTATCGCGAACTGTGCGCGATATATATTACATTTTTTTTTATTTCAAACGAAAAAACACAATTTGTCGATTGTGTTTCTGAGCGGCAGAAATATCATAGCGGTGGATGGGTCGCTAGTGGGGCGGGGTTCGCCCCCCTCTGGGTGGCTGCGATTGGTCGCCGGGTGGCGGGTGGAGTGGGGCAGAAGCGGGGGGTGGAGGGATGGGAGAGATTCTCTCCTCTCCTCTCCTTTCCGCATAGATTGCGCGGAGGTCGCGGCGCGAGCGTACGCGTCTGTAGTGCGGTGAGGTGCGGCGTTCGAACCGGTGTATGACCAAAATGTTGGAGTTCTACACGAACATAAACCCTGGATTGATGCAGGAGGGCATGCAGCCACCGCTCACCTGCGCGGGCAGAACAGGTCAGCGTCAGCACTCAGTTTTTTTCCTATTGTTCTAAACTTTGAGCGAATTTTATATTACATAGTTACATATTTTTGAAAAATTATGGTGATTTTCCTCGTCTGTATTTATCGGACTATACTTTCAAATTGGCTTTTGACTAAGTTACTCTTTAATTTTGTTTATTTCGATAATGTAAGTACATTTTTTGATCCTGTGCTGTTTCGCGCGACTTGAACTTAACATCAACAATAACTTGCAACAACAAATATTTTACGGATTTGTCTTAGTAACTTTTGAAATATAATAATTCCTTAAATTTATACTCCTATCATTAGACTATTTTTTCATTTAGTAGATAATTTTTTTTTTTGTTATTTTATCTACATTTACTTTCGCTATTTTGACAATTCCAGACCTGTTTTTAAATACGTAGATGTCAATCAAATAATAACAGTCAATAATATTAATTAGGTATCGTTATTCTTATAATCTCTATCTTAATTTCTTAATTAAGGTCACAGACAGGATAAATTCCATACCAGATATGTATTATATATATACCTAAGCTTTTTAGTATAATAGTATATTTAAAATAATTTATTAAGTAATTTTTTATACGAAAATTTTTGACTAAACATAAAAAGATATTGTTGAACCCTTTATACACTACTTCCGTCCGTCTGTCATCAGGCTTTATGTACCTCTACCTATAGAAGATACCTATGATAAAATAATATAAAAAACACAGAAAATATAGTTGAAACACAATAATATAAAAATTAAAGTACAAGAGCCGTAAAAAACAAATTACGGAAGAATTGGTTTTTGGAATGATCTTTTAAAACTGACTTGAATTGTGCGGGCAGGTGGGTTTTATTCAAAAACATATATATATATATTAAATCTAAATACAACTACTCCTTCGCCATGTAAGTAAATTTGCTTAAATAACGAATTATCCAAAAAGTAAAAAATGTATAACGCCCGTATCACCATTAACTAAGCTTAGTTGATAAACCATGACCAACGATGATGTTTTTTGCAATATAATATTACTCTAGACCCTACATCAATCTTTAAACTCTTTGGGATTCCTCCCGTTTTGTTGGGGTCTATTGTTTTTTTTCTATATCATGTTGGAATGTTAAATACAAATGTTTTATTAAAGCTAAGGCAGGCAAATACAGGGGTCTAGGCTCCGAATATGATTTTGTCCCATTCGGTGTCGAGACCCTTGGTCCGTGGGGTCCTAGCGCTATAAGGCTTTTTAAAGAAATAGCGAAAAGATTAGTCGACATCACAGGAGACCGAAGATCTGGCAGCTACCTCGGACAAAGAATTAGTCTAGCTATTCAAAGGGGGAACGCTGCCAGTATCTTCGGAACCTTGCCTAAAGGGACTCCTTTTAATAATGTATTTTAGTTATTATATTTTATTTTTGAAGGTTCTTAGTTTTAGGTTCATTGTTATAGTCTAAGATATATAATTAATATAATTTTATTAAACATTCCAAATAGATTTGTATGTGATTGGATTAGTAGTTAAGCTATAAGATGAGGAGCTGGCGAACAAAACGATATAATTACATAAAAATAAATTTCACGCGAGCATTAAAAAAACTGAATGACATACCTACAGGGGTTTTCAACAAAAACTTTGTTTAAATCTAAAGAAAAGTTTACTAGAAAAAAATCCACGCGGACCAGGCAGCGGACGGGACTCGAACCCGCACCCTTCGCAATCCGGGCGAATGCACTGACCAATTATGCTACCGCGGCCCTCACGGACTGCGTCGAAATTCTTCTAGCCATTCTTAAGCTGCAAGGCAGCGCCATCTCTTCGCATTGTAGGTAACCCACAATGTCAAATGAATACTTTTACAAGTATTAAACATTTGAAAGAAGAAATAGCAATTATAGTTATAATTTTTATTATTTTAAAGCATGTAACTGCTTGATGTTTAAATCTAAAGAAAATATAACTAGAAAAAATTCCACGCGGACCAGGCAGCAGACCTGCCTATAATGCGAAGAGATGGCGCTGCCTTGCAGCTTAAGAATGGCTAGAAGAATTTCGACGCAGTCCGTGAGGGCCGCGGTAGCATAATTGGTCAGTGCATTCGCCCGGATTGCGAAGGGTGCGGGTTCGAGTCCCGTCTGCTGCCTGGTCCGCGTGGAATTTTTTCTAGTTATATTTTCTTTAGATTTAAACATCAAGCAGTTACATGCTTTAAAATAATAAAAATTATAAAAACTTTGTTTTTCAATTGTGGCTAAACCAACAATACAGTATTCGTAGTAGATGCATTGGCAATTGTTACAATGAATTCAATTTTGCTTGAAAATTGAATTAAAATCCCCTATGAAAATAGTGGTTCTGTTACAGTTAAATTTTGTTAAATTCGTGATATTTTCGGACAACATCATCGTCCTTCTGAGACCGCTATTAAGAATTTGGTCGTTAAATTTGAGTCGATACAAAATGTGCCAACTCCAACGCGTGTTCGACCGGGTCGTTCAACTGAAAGCATCGTAGCCGTGAGCCACAGCGTTGAAGCAGATCCAAATGTGTCAATTCCGCGACGTTCTCAAAAATTGGTGTTATCCAAAACCAGCACATGGCGAATTTTGGCCTATTATTGATAACGTGGATATCACTGATATGTGGTTTCAACAGGACGTTGCCCCATGTCACACAGCCAATGAAATGATCAATTTATTGCAAACCAAATTTCCCGATCGCATAATTTCACTAAACTCAGCTGTTAAGTCGCCAGCCAGATCGTGTGATTTGATACCACTAGATTATTTTTTGTGGGGTTATATTAAGGACAGAGTCTAAACGGGGCCAATAGAATCGATTGCAGCCTTAAAACTCAAAATCCGTGATGTGAATAACGAAATAGTCCAGCATTTTTTTTTGCCAAAAAAAAAGTGATTAAATACTTTAATGAAGAATCGACATCTGTCAGCGTGCTCATGGTGGACATTGGCCAGATACCTATCATTTTTCATTCATAATTGCCGAACTTTTCTCTTTGTAATTCAATAAGAAATTTAATCATCATCATCTAAATTCTTGGTTTTATCTACTATATAAAAATAAGTCGGGTTTTCCTTCCTGACGCTATAACTCCAGAACGCACGAACCGATTTCCACGGTTTTGCATTCGTTGGAAAGGTCTCGGGCTCCGTGAGGTTTATAGCAAAGAAAATTCAGGAAAAATTAAAAAAAACTTCTTTTAATCGCCAAACGAAATGTTACATAAAACGAAGCCATCTGGTGGCGAAACGGAGTTCGCGGGGTTTCAAATTCAAATTCAAATTCAAATTCAAACTCATTTATTCAGTCTAGGCTGTTACAAGCTCTTGTGAAAGTCAAACGCTACGCCATCGGTTCGTAAATCTACAGCGGGAGACCTTGTACTGAGAAGAACCGGCAAGAAACTCAGCAAGGGCAATTTTTTTCTCCCTGTTTTGTTTCACACAGTGTCGTCAATTGAAAGATGACATCAAAAATTGAATACATGTGTTGATGTCAACTTCCATCACATTAATATTATTAATTAACAAAAGTTAAGTATAACTAGGTACTATTTTTAAATTTAGAAGTGGCGATTAAACAATTTTCAACCAAATTAGCAAAGTAAAACGACAGTCTATTATGTTAAGCCCAAGGTGACTTATCATTTATGAAATCTTTTACAGTATAGTAACCTTTCTTAAGGAGACATGTTTTTATACACACTTTAAACTTATTAAAAGGTAAATTAATTATTTCTTTTGGTATTTTATTATAGTAACATACACCTTGACCCACAAATGAACCAAGAACCTTTTGGAGTCTCAATGGTGGCAATTTGAGTTTATCTTTATTTCTGGTATTGAAATTATGTACATCATCGCGCCTCGTATATAAATTTATGTTCTGACGCACAAACAATATACAATTGTAAATGTATTGAGAGGCAACAGTCATTATACCTATTTCTTTAAATTTATCCCTAAGAGAAGTTCGAGATCCCAAGCGGTAAATAGCTCTTATAGCTCGTTTTTGAAGAATAAAAACTGTTTCAATGTCTGCGGCCGTGCCCCATAATAGAATGCCATACGACATAATGCTGTGAAAGTAGCTGAAGTATATTGTCCTAGCAGTGTCGACATCTGTAAGCCGTCTTATTTTATAAATTGCATAAGCAGCAGAACTTAGTTTACCGGCTAGTGTTGTAATGTGAGGGTTCCATTGAAGTTTGTGGTCTAGTGTTACGCCTAAGAAAACGGTTGTATCAACTAAAATTAGTTTTTCACCATTTAGAATTATATCCCCCATTTCAACATGCTTTACATTCGGCAAAGTAAATTTCACACATTTAGTTTTGCTCGCATTCAGTTTAAGATTATTAGAAGAGAACCAGTGAAGTACCTTGGAAAGTGCATTGTTTACATCGTCATAATTTGTTTTACACCTGTCAACGTTAAAAATTAGCGAGGTGTCATCTGCAAACAAAACAATTTCACAAAAATTTTCTACAAAGAAAGGTAAATCATTAATGTAAATTAAAAAAAGAAATGGACCTAAAATTGAACCCTGAGGAACGCCTATTTTCACATGAGATCCGGCTGATTTTGTACCGTTAATATCAACTATTTGTGTCCTTTCTGTTAAATATGATTGCACTAATTTTTGTGCGGAATCTTTTATGCCGTAATGATTTAATTTCCGTAACAAAGTTTGATGATTAACGCAATCAAACGCTTTAGATAAATCGCAGAAAACCCCAAGAGCATTCTGCGACTTTTCCCAAGCATTAAATATATATTTTAGCATAGTGGCCCCAGCATCAGTCGTGGAACGGTTTTTAGTGAAACCGTACTGCGCTCTGTGTAAAAGTTTATTAATG